GGTAACTTCTGGAAATTGAACATAAAGCTGAGTGTGTGGCATAAGCTTTGCACTCCACTCTCTTATTAAAATGTGAGCAGGAGCTTAAAGGCCTTCCTACTGAGAAATGACTGTGTGTCCTCATCTGGAAATCATGATTAGAAAATCCAAGGAGAAGGTCAAGACACTAAACCAGAGAGAGCAGGGAAGGGGCCCATACTCTGCTTAGAATGAGTGGGAAGTCCTGGGGTTAGAGCCCAGCTAGGAAATGCCAGCCCTTCCTTAGCCTTGGTGCCAACTGGCTCCCTGGGGGTACGGGAACTGCCTGGGGATTCCCTGCCATTCAGGAGCTCTTCCAGTGACCCCACCCCCACCTCCTCAGACCCTCCATTAGGGGATTTCCGAGAATGTTCCCATACCTGGGGCAGCCTCCTTGTCAGCCACTTCCAAGCTGCTTGTGGTTCACTCTATGGGTGGTATCAGGTGACTGCACAGGTGAGAGTGAATTGTGACAGGGAGCATCTGGATTCACACAAGGTGGAAGAGTAAATAGATGAAATTGGAAAGCCAACAGGGCTGAAGCCTCATGGGAGATAACTACCAAATATCATACAGTTTAAACAGACTTCAGAGGCAAGACAGGACAGTGGCCACAGATTCTGAACCCAGGCTGCATTGATTCAGTACTGGTGCAATAACTTATAAATTGTGAGGCATTAAATAAGTTTCTTAACTTCTCTGTACCTCAGTTTTCCTCTTCTGTAAAATGGGAATATTATCTACCACATAGGGCTATTTGTGAAGATTAAATACAATATTTCTAAAGTACTTAAGAGTGATTGTTATTTGTTATTTGCCATCGAGTCAGCCCCGACTCCTAGCGACCCCTCCTTGGGTTTCCGAGGCAGTTATCACTACAGAAGTAGGATTGCCCAACCTTCCTTCCGAGGAGTGGCTGGTGGGTTTGAACTGCCAGCCTCCTGGTTAGCAGTCAAGTGCCTTAGGCACTGTGCTACCAGAGCTCCTAAGAGTGATTAGCACATGATAACATTTAATAAATGTCAGGTAGTATTAGGTCAAACTAGGCTTTTCTTTTAAAAATTTAGTTTCTACTAATCTTTCTCATACGAATTGAGTCTACACTCCCACTCCCCTACCCACACACACACACCCCTTTCAAACATTTCAAGGATCTAGCTTGCTCACTCAGGTAGTAAATTTGGAACCTGAAATATTTGAGAGTTAGAGGGTGCTTGGAAGTCTTCCAACCCTGTGGTTTATCAACCTTAGTTGAACATTAAAATCCCCTGGGGGGCCTTCACAAGCAACTCTGGTGATGTAGTGGTTAACTCATTTAGCTGTTAACCAAAAGGTCGGTGGTTCAAACACCCCAGCCACTCAGTGGAAGGCAGATGAGGCAGTCTGCTTCCATAAAGATTTACAGCCTTGGGGGTCACTATGAGTCAGAATCAATTCAACAGGAGTGAGGGTTTTTTTTTTTTTTTTTTGGGGGGGGGGGGGGGGGAGGTGGAAGGAAGGCTTTAATAACCCAATGCCAGGTAGCATGGGACCTGTTGTTGTTGTTGTTATGTGCCGTCGAGTCGGCCCCGACTCATAGCGACCCCTCCTTGGGTTTCTGAGGCAGTATCACTACGGAAGTAGGATTGCCCAACCTTCCTTCCAAGGAGTGGCTGGTGGGTTTGAACCGCCAGCCTTCTGGTTAGCAGTCAAGTGCTTTAGCCACTGTGCTACCAGAGCTCGCATGGGACCTAGGCATCAATATTATTAAAGTTACGCAGGGATCCAATGTATGGCCATGGTTGACAACAATTGTTTTGGTACAGTCTTCCTGTTTTAAAGTGAGGTAAGTTGGGCTCAGAGAGGGAAAGCAACTCAGTGAAGGTCACCAGCCAGGTCGAGGACCCATGACTCACTGACCCCAATTACCACTGATGGTGTCCGTCACTGTCATGTATTCAGGATCTCATTCTGCATCTGGAGGAAGGTCTGGTCTCAAGTCAGCCCTTTTTCAGAGTAGCTGGACAAGTGATTCCTGCCCAGCTCAGCTCTGGAGACTGATGGCCATCTCTGCACTTGGAATAAGTAATTGATCTGGGATTGTTGTATTGTATTATGTTTTAAGGATCACCAAAACCAAGACCTGGTTTTCTTTTCAAAGATGACCAGGTGGCCAGGGTCTTCTTAGTGATCTCTTGAGACACTTGGCTATTGGAGTTGCCAGACTTTCTGTAGAAGCAGTCAGGTGTGGTGAAAGGAGCACAGGGCTGAGAAGGAAAGACCCCAATGCAAGCCCTCCTCTGCCCCTATGTGACTAAGGGTCTTTGAATCAATCACTCAAAATTTCTAGACCTCTGAGAAGGTGAGGTGAATCCTACACCCCTTTCTCCTAGCAGCTGCTGCCACCCAGCCTGTGGTCATTTTATAGAATATGCAGGGTAGGTTTGGCCCAGAGTGGTCTCATCTGTAAAGTGGGCATGGTGACAACACCTAGCCTTCCATGTCCAGGTGGGTTATTATGAAGGGCCTGGTAAGACATGGACCGATGCATTCAGAAAAACAGAGATTTCACCAGAAGCCCTAATTTACTTCTCAAACTTTCCTCTCCTCTTTCCCTTCACTGGCTTGTAGGCAAGGCTTCAAACCAGTTCAAATTGGTTCAGTCATGGCCAATGAAGCAAAATTGGAACAGACTTGAATTTTAAAAATTTGGATGAAGTGAAATAATGGAATGGGGAAAATTATAGGTCGAAGCCGTGGAATTGGTGATATGGAAGAGGCATAGCGAGCCCTTCCAGGGGCGTAATGTGGGAAATCAGATTATTGCCAGGGTTGTGGAGGGTGACACACATTCAAAGCAGCAGGGTCAGCCACCATCTTTGAGCAAGGCATCGTCATTTCCTACCCTATCAGTCAAGAGATTTGGCTATGCAACACATACACTCCCCTTGTTTTCTAAGGAGATCAAGTTTGTAGCAGGACATCGACTCAAAATTGTTCACATTTCAGTTACTGCTCAGTTCACTCACGTTTTACATATTCAGGTTGTTCAGATTTTGCTTCGTCAGCCATGACTGAACCGAGAGGAACTGGTTTGAAGCCCTGGTTCTAGGTTTCCAGCACTAATTGGAACATTAGTGGGTGTGATCTTTGTACCTCTGGATACACAGCTGCTCCATGGCTCCCTAGGCCAGTTGTCCCTTCAGGTGTGTGAGCCTTTTCCATAACATAACTGTCCCAAGGAGGGTCATAAGTGGATAGAGCAATGGCAGGCGGGGGTGTGTAAGAATTAGGTCTCCAAATAGTCACTTCTTCTGCAAAGGGAGTCAAACCCTTTCCCTTGTGTCTGGCTGGCTGCAGGGCCCCTGGGCTGGCAGGGCTGGTTTCTCTGGGGCCCATGCAGGAAGCAGTCTTTCTTCCCAAGGCAAAGGCTAGTTTCCTGTCACAGGTGGTTTTCTGGTTAAAGGCAACAGTGGTTACAAACCCCAACTAGAGCTCTGGGATCTGCAAGCCGGCAGGAGGGGAAGGTGAGAAAGCTAGAGAGAGGCCAGCAGAGCTTGCTTAGAGCCCAGGGAGGAAGGGCCTGCAGTCACTTCCCGAAAGCTGGGCCTGCCCCTAGGCGGGGAGAAGGTCAGAGAGGAGCAGTCCCTCCGCCTACCTTGGCCCCGCCCTTCAGCCTCGGGGTTTGCCCAGGCGCGTTGGAGCACAGAATTTACTGTAAATGTTGCCACTGGTGGAAACTCTCAGAGGGGGCGAGGAAAAGGGCTAGAGGAAGGGGCCAGAACTCCCGGCCCCCAGTTCCCGTCTTACCGACACCCTCACTCTCATTGTGTTGCCTTATCTTACCTTTCGGTAAAGGGGGGATGCTCTCCATCTGGAAGTGCCAGGAAACAGACAAATGGCAAAATGAATGAGCCAGCCACATCTTGCAGAAGAAGGCAGTGCCTGACTCCACTACCATGGCGACAGCTCTTGGTATCAGCCCCATTAAAAAATAAGCAAACAAACAAATCTGTGTCCCTAGAATCGATTCCAACTCACAGTGGCCCTGTGTGTTACAGAGTGTGTTTCTGATGGTTCTCCCAAGCAACAGGGGAATGTGTTTCCAAAAAAAAAGAAAGCACGCGTGCTTGGGCCATACCCAGAAGGCTGTAAAACAGGCTGTTGGATGAGCAGAATTGAATGGAATAGCACACTATCGTGGGTTCTCACCATTTGATATTTACAAAGACCTTGAGTGTTCCAGAATCTGAGTGAAGCAAATAATTAAGCATGGACTTTGTAAGACTAGATGCAAATACTAGGAACATGTGAAAAGCACATGGCATAACATAGGCGTGAAAGGAGTCAATTAATATAGGATATTCTAACACTGTTATCTGTTGTTTCAGGCTCTGGCCTGCCAATCAGTTTCCCTCAAACCAGTTACTTCTCACTCCACACACACACACACACACACACTCACAAAGACCAATGCACATAAGGAGCACACACATAGAAACTCATACATGCATTCACACACACACCCCTGTTAGGTCAAACCATATGACATTGCCATTTTTGTAGGTCACAACAGACAAATATCACTGCACATGGTTCAACCTAATTGTTGTTGTTAGTTGCCACTGAGTCGACTCTGATTTGTGGCAACCCCATGTGTGCAGACTAGAATTGTCCTCCATAGATTTTTGGATAACCAAGCTTGTCTTCTGAGGTGCCTCTGGGTGGGAATTGCCAACCTCTCAGCTAGTGGCTAAGCACTTAACAGTTGCTGCACCAGGGACTCTCCTTCAACCTCCTTATGAATACACGTGCACATATACACCTGTGTTTATACAGATACACCTATCCACATATACAAATAGATATGCACACAGGCACAAACTCATGTGTGCAGGAAATTCACAAACGCCCTTCTCCATGGCTGTGGTAGGAAAACGCTAACCTCCCCTCCCCCACCTGCTGCCTCCCCTGACACTAATGCCCACCCATCCCCCCCACAGGAGAGTGAAGACCTGGAGAAACAGAACGCAGCTCTGCGCAAGGAGATCAAGAAGCTCACAGAGGAGATGAAGTACTTCACGTCAGTCCTGAGTAGCCACGAGCCCCTGTGCTCAGTGCTGGCCACCAGCGTGCCCTCACCCCCCGAAGTGGTATACACCTTCCATCAGCCTCACGTCACCTCCCCACGCTTCCAGCCCTGAGCCTCGCAGTAGAGTGAGAAGAGCAGAGCCCTCATCCCTGATGCCCAAGCGGGCCTTGAGGGGCACACACCCAGACTGTGGCCAGGTTGCCCACGTCCCTCGGAGCCCTCTCTCCATTGGGAGACCCAGAGGCGGAGGCTTGCACAAGGATTGCACACAAGGACTGTAGTGGCTAGAGGAGTGTGAGGGCTCCCCGCAGGGTGGCAACCTGTCTGGGGGTGCTGCACCTCCATGTGGGGGGACCCCAAGTCAGAGCAACAGAAAGTATAATGCCCAAATCTCCTGGGTCAGAGGGAGGAGGGCAGGGGAGGGTTATTTTTCTAAATAAACGTTGTAAAAGATGCCAGCTTGACAGGGCCATTTCCTTGAAACCCTAGATTTTGTGGGGTTGGAGGTTTCATTTATTCTTGGTCTCAAGAGGTCCTCAAGAGCTCTGCTAACAGCTCTTCTTTTACGTGGTTTGTGAATCTACTTGGGAAGCTGGCTTTTTTCACTGCGTCTTCAGCCTTGCCTGTAGGCATCTGTCTTCTTTATTTTGCTCCCACATCACCTCCCCATGACCTCCCATCTTACATTCCTCATTGCCTTCTCTTTCTTGCAGTGGAAACTTCTAGGCAGGGAGAAGGACCAGTGTAAGATGCCATTCAGTGAAATGATAAGTCAGGTTGATACTATCCTCCCACTCAAACAACTACACTTATCCAGCACTGTTTCCAGCCCAGTAGCCAACTCTGGGAGATGCCGGGTATCAGGCACTGTGCAAGACAGCCTAGGAATACAGTGGCAACCTCTCACACTTAAGGCCAAAACTCAAAAACCAAAACCTCTGCCATCTTGTTGAATCAGATTCATAGTGATCCCATAGTGCAGAGTAGAACTGCCCCACAGTGTTTCTAAGACTGTAAATCTCTGTGGAAGCAGACTGCCTCATCTTTCTCCTATGGAGCAGTTGGTGGGTTCCAACCACCAGTCTTTTGGTTAACAACAGAACGCTTTGACCATTTTGCCACTAGAGCTTCTTACACTTAAGGTAGGGCTTTCCTAATCCTCTCTAGGGATAACCTGTGGCTCAGATTCACAGGGACCTTCCTGCCAATGGATCCACATGTCCTGCTGAAGACTGTCTCCCTTGGAAAGCACACATGACTTTACCGGTCTCCACAAGCCTCTGCAGTCTGCCATTTTGAGGGCCACAGTGACACAGTGTTGTCTTCAGGGCTTCAAAATCTCCCACTTTTGGTAGAATCTAAAACCAGAGTGCTCTAGTTTCCCCTGATGTCTACAGGTGCCTCAGTGATCCCTGGGCTGAGTCCTGCTGGTTGGCTGACACAGTCTTACCCACACAGCTGCTCAAGGTTGATAGCCACTTGAGGACTGCCCACACACATGACCCTGCTGAGCCCGACAGGGACAAAAGCAACAGAGAATGCCATGGAAGATGGCCAATTCAGCTTCTCAGTAACCCCCTCAGTCTCACTCCTTTGTCTTCAGAGGGATTGCCACTGCTGCTGCCTCTCTGCTGGCAGCCATCTTGGGATGTGATGAACACAGGGGAGAAGGTGGAAGGAGCAGGCTCACTTCTCTGTATCGTGGCGCCTCCTCAACCTGCCATCCGACAGCTCTGGTTGGTTTGAGGCTCTGGACCTTTCTGTAACCACATTTTTTTTACCTCTCTGGAATTATACCAATTTAGGGACGATCATGATTATTAATCTCCAGATAGGCCTGGAAAAGCCATGTCCCAGTGTGTGGTTACCAACCCAAGGCCTTTGAAACCACATTGCAGCAGTTGGGGTCCTCACCCTTGAAGCCATGGATGCCCTGGTGTGGACTGGGAACTGGGCTAAGCCTAGTACCTCAGAGCTTGTTGGAGACAGCCCAGAAGAGCTTCCCCAAGTAGCACCACTTCTTACAATTCAGAAACCTGCATTTTAATCTTTGGTCTCCCACAAAACTTAGAAAATAGGGCCTCTCTTCCAGTACTTGAGGAGCCCTGGTGGCACAGTGGTTAAGCGCTGGGCTGTTAACCCAAAGGTCAGCAGTTTGAACCAGATATGGCAGTCTGCTTCTGGAAAGGTTTACAGCCTTGGAAACCCTACAGGGGAAGTTCTGCTCTGTCCTGGAGGGTCACTGTGAATTGGAATCGACACGACAGCTGTGTGTATTTTGGTTTTCTTCCAGTACTCAGATTGGGTGCAGATTGGGTGTGTGGTGAGGGCTTGTACCAAGAAGGATCATTCTCATTCCTTTCCTTCAAGGGCTGGTTTTTGGAGCTAATGTTCCCTCTGGAGTCCCTGGTTAATGCACTTGATTCTGATGCAAAGATTGGAAGGAAGTTCAAATCCACACAGAGATGTCTTGAAAGAAGGTCCTGATAGTCTATTCTGAGAAAAATCAGCCATCGAAAACCGAATGGAGCAGAGTTCTAAGAGTTCTACTCTGACTCACTTGGAGTCTCCACGAATTGGATTTGACTCGATAGCAGCTGACGGTGCTCAGTCTGGCTCTTTCCCACCCCTCTGTTAGCAAGGTAACACCAAGAACCCAGTTATCACCTCAGATGTTGCATGCACTGAATAGAATACATTGTCCTTTCAGTTTTAAGCCTTAGAATTCTAGGTCTTGCTTTCTTTGCAGCTCACCCTGGTGGCTGGCCCCTCAAGGGAGTCGGGGGTAGCCTTTCTTCCAAGCAGAAGAGTTTTCTCCCCACCTCTGCTCTGATGCTGTGATTTTCCCCCTGAAATCCCCATAGAAGGCACATGACTGGGGCAGGGCATCTTCTGAATGACATTAAGGGCCAGAACTAGAAACACTGGGCTCACGTGTGCAGTTCCCATCCCTCGGACCTCTCTTCCCCTTTCATTCTCCACTTTCTAATGACCCCAAGCAGTTCCACTTCTTCTTTCTGATCAGCCTGGCAGAAGCAGCAAAGGGCTGAGCCTAGGACTAGTGCCAATGCTGACTTCATCTCAACACAGAGAAATCTTAGAGGCAGCCATGAGTAGAGATTTGGACTTCCAAAGTTTTGACCACACTACATCATGGATCCCAGTCTCCTATCCAAAGCAGGCATGGCTGCCTGGGCTGGTAGGCCACGAGACACAAACTTAAATGCTTTCAGGGCCCAGGCAGGCACTATAAATGCATGAAGCTTACTAGATTCAGGACAATCGAGAGTGGTGGAGAGTTGGCAAACTGAGGAATGAGTGAGTGCTTACCTGCCAAAAGTGAGCAGCTGTCCCTCAGTTCTAACTCATGCAGTCTCATGAGAACTCAGGCCCAGTGTTGCAATATCTTCCAATTTGTCAAGAGAAGCCAAAATCGGAATTTTTATATGAAATCTCCCAATTTTTAAAGCATTCTGCCTACCAAAAATAAATAAATAGATAGATAGCTAAATAAATAGACAGTTCAGGATCAAGCCTGTCCTGAACATTTGCAGGGCCTAGGACAGGAGTACAAATAGGAGCAATACACCATATGTCTGGGAGCTCTGGTAGCATAGTGCCTAAAGCACTTGGCTGCTAACCAGAAGGCTGGCGGTTCAAACCCACCAGCCACTCCTCAGAAGGAAGATGGGGCAATCTACTTCCGTAGTGATACTGCCTCAGAAACCAAGGAGGGGTTGCTACGAGTTGGGTCCGACTCGATGGCACATAACAACAACAACAACAACATACCATATGTCTAAATACTTAAATGTTATAAATCAATAATATGTTCTTTTCTCTTTCCTTGACAAACTGTCTGTATAACAACCTGGAAGACAAGGTTTACATTTAGAATTCTTGGACTCTTCAGAATTTTACATTAGGATGAAGTAGTGCAGGGAGAAAGAGCCCCCAGCCTGCAGCGTGCCCATTCCCTCCCTTTCCCTCCCCTCCCCGGCTCCTCCTGTCCACACTGCCTCTCATTCATGCCAGTGGACATACCAGCCTGCAAGGCCATGTTCTGTCTGCCCCCTTTTCTCCACAACCCACTAACCCTTGACCTCCCCTCAGTTCAAGGGCTGCACCCACCAGAGCCTTGGTCCATCCTTGGCAGAAGGACCTGGGTAAGAGGTCTGCAGTTTCCTGGGAGCCAGCACAGAGCTATTTAGGCTGAGGATTGTGGAGCCCTGGGGATATGGAAACAGGAGCCTGGGTGGAGCAAGCAGTTCATGCTGCACTGATAACCTGAAAGTTGGCGGTTCGATCCCACCCAGTGGCTCCATGGAAGAAAGTCCTGGTGAGCTGCTTCCATAAAGATTTATAGCCAAGACAACACCAACAACAATGGAATGGCCCTTGGGTGGTACAAATCATTTGCATCATCTGATAATCCTAGAGGTTGATGGTTTGAATCCACCCAGTGGCACCCTCAAGGAAACAGGTCTGGTGAGCTGCTTCCTTAAAGACTTTATTACAGTCAAGAAAACCCTATAGAGTAGTCCTACTCTGTCACACAGGGTCACCGAATCGAAATCAATGGCCACAGGTCTGGGGTTTTGTTGTTGTTGGGGGTGGCGGGTAGATAAGAGCAGGATCTGAAGGAGGTGCAGGGCTCTAAGTGGATACGTCTCCTAGGTCCTAAGGATCCTTGCCCCAAGCGAGGAGGATAGTGGGAGGGTGCCCAGCACCGGTTCCCTCTACAGTGGCAAGCCCATGGCAGATCTGAGAGCAGCACTGCACAGTCCACTAGTTTGTAAACTGATTTAGGTCAGCAACATCTGCCTTGAAAGCTGGGCTGTGGGAGAGTCCCAGGTGGCCAGCAGTGGGCACAAGAGGACATCGTTGCTATCTGTCACTTGACCTTAGGGTTCCTGGGGAATGTTTCTCCACCTCCTGTCCTCGGTGTTTATCTCTTACTGGCAGTGTCATCCCCGAGTTAGCATCAAAACAAATGACAGGAAATCCAGAATTTCGGTCCTCAGGTTGAGAAGCGTGGGTGGAGGGAGAGAGGCAAGCAAATCAATGCAAAGGTCACCGGGTACTAAACTTACCAGCAAGGTTTATAAATAC